ACCTTGATGAGGTACTGTAAACATCTGGGGATGTAGAACCAGAGGAGGCCTCATGTTGTGCTGATCTTGGCAATAGGTGCGCCAAGTGCGCGCGGGTCAGCTGATGCTTAGCTCCTGATCCGAAGCAGCGCTACGGTTGTGATGCGTCAGGAGTTGCAATCGGAGCACGCGCAGGTGATGGCATTGGGGGGGGTCCTTTTTCCCAACCATCCTGCGGTGTTGGGTCCTCGTTTTGAAGAGGCAGCGCCACGCGTCTCCCTCCTCCCCCCGCTGCCCACTCTTTCCCCCTCGTACCATTATCATCGTCATCGTCATCGTCATCGTCATCGTCATCGTCTTCATTATCATCATCATCATCATCATCATCATCATCATCATCATCATCATCATCATCATCATCATCATCATCACCATCACCACCATCACCATCACCATCACCATCACCATCACCATCACCATCACCACCATCGTGGGCACCATCGCCATCATCGGCGCCATCAACTTCGCCATCGTCAGCGTCGAGCCTCTGTTCTCCACGTGCCCACCAAGTCGGCGCCCCCCTCGCACGTGTCGTGGCCCCATGGGGAGCTACACCGAAGACCCCAGCGGCAAAGTTCGCATGGCGGCCCCGCCCCATTTCGGCGCACCCCTCACACGTTTCGTGGCCCCATAGCGAGCTCCACCGAAGGCCCCAATGGCAAAGTTCGCATGGCCGCCCCGCCCCATGTCGGCGCACCCCTCACACGGTCCGTGGCCCCATAAGGAGCCCGACCGAAGGCCCCAGTGGCAAAGTTCGCAGGGCGGGCCCGCCCCATTTCGGCGCACCTCATTCACGCTCCATGGCCTCACAGGGAACCCCACCGAAGGCCCTGGTGGCAAAGTTCGCATGGCGGCCCCGCCCATTTCGGCGCACTTCTCACACGCTTCGTGGCCCCATGGGGAGCTCCGCCGAAGGCCCCAGTGGCAAAGTTCGCGTGGCAGCCCCGCCCCATTTCGGCGCACCCCTCACACGCTTCGTGGCCCCATAGGGAGCTCCACCGAAGGCCCCAGTGGCAAAATTCGCGTGGCGGCCCCGCCCAATTTCGGCGCACCCCTCACGCGTTTCGCTGCCGCATAAGGAGCCCCACAGAAGGCCCCAGTGTCAAAGTTCGCATGGCGACCCCGCTTCATGTCAGCGCACCCCTCACACTCTTCGCGGCCCCATAGGAAGCCCCACCGACGCCACCAATGGCAAAGTTCGCATGGCGGCCCCGCCCCATTCCGGCGCACCCCTCACACGGTCCGTGGCCCCATGGGGAGCTCCACCGAAGGCCCCAGCCCCGCCCCATTTCGACGCACCTCTCACATGTTTCGCTGCCCCATGGGGAGCCCCACCCAAGGCCCTAGCGTCAAAGATCGCGTGGCGGCCCCGCCCCATGTCGGCGCACCCCTCGCACGCTTCGTGGCCCCACAGGGAGCCCCACCGAAGGCCCCAGTGGCAAAGTTCGCATGGCGGCCCCGCCCCATGTCGGCGCACCCCTCACACGCTTCGTGGCCCCTTAGGGAACCCCACCGAAGGCCCCAGTGGCAAAGTTCGCATGGCGGCCCCGCCCAATTTCGGCGCACTTCTCACACGTTTCGCTGCCCCATGGGGAGCCCCACCAAAGGCCCCAGTGGCAAAGTTCGCATGGCGGCCCCGCCCAATTTCGGCGCACCCATCACACGTTTTGCTGCCCCATAGGGAGCTCCACCGAAGGCCCCAGTGTCAGTTCGCATGGCGGCCCCGCCCCATTCCGGCGCACCCCTCACACGTTTCGTGGCCCCATAGGGGGCCCCCACCGAAGGCCCCAGTGGCAGGGTTCGCATGGCGCCACCGCGCCCATTTCGGCACACCCCTCTCACGCTTCGTGGCCCCATGGGGAGCTCCACCGAAGGCCCGAATGGCAAAGTTCGCATGGCAGCCCCGCCCCATTCCGGCACACCCCTCACATGTTTCGTGGCCCCACAGGGAGCTCCACCGAAGGCCTCACTGGCAGGGTTCGCATGGCGCCATAGCACCGATGCCGGCGCACCCCTCACGCGCTTCGTGGCTCCACAGGGAGCTCCACCGAAGGCGGGGCTCACAACTGCGGTACCCACAATTTCACATGTTTGGACCCTTCGCCAGGATAATCATCAGGGTGGGCGAGCGGACGCCACGGTGAGGCGTGCCAGAACCACTGCTGGGAACACTACCTGTATCCTAAGCAATGGACCGCCGTGGCCCGCGCAGGGCGGGGTGGCCACCATCCGTCGTCTGCCAGGTGTGCTGATTGCCCCCTGAGGTTCTCGGTCGTGTAGTGTTTTAGTCCATTATATGCAGTCGTACGGGTCCAGCGGGACGTAGAGGTTCATTTTGCCGCGTTCCAGGTCCCAGCCCCCGTAGCCGAAGGTGCCTGTCCAATTGAGTGGTGGCTCTGTCTGTGGTTACATCTTCCGTGGTTGGGTAGTAGTGCTATCGTCCGTCGTACGTCTGGTACCCGTATTGTGAGTACTGTAGTCGGTCTCATTGCTGTGTCCAGCCATGCATTGGTCGAAGGCAACGAGGTCCACTTCATCAGGACCAACCATGGTTGTAATTTTTGGTAGTAATCAACAGTTTGCTGTATGTGTCTCGTCGTTGATGGTGGCGGGGGCTCTATGATCATTGGGACCTTCGTGTTGATGCATATGTATGCTAACGGTATCGTAGTTCGCAGTAGCTTGTTGTCTGCGTGCAGTTGTTCGAACTGCTTAGGAGACAGGTGCTGTAGTCCCCAAGCTTGCTGTCGGCTCCTCAGAGGTCGTGCTTGGTACCCACTCCGTGTCTCGCTCGACGGCTCCGCTAGAATGGCGTCCACACGACCGCGTAGTAGTTGGTCTCTGGAGAAGTGTATGGCTTGCCATTGTGTGAGGTCACTCTTGCTCTCGCCGCAAGTAATGTCGATGGAGAGTCATGTTATGCTGTTGTCGTAATGGCTGAGGTGTTCTATCCATTGCCGGACATCGCCATTGCTTATGTGTCCGCTGCTGATATGTAGTGCGGCTTGCGGTGTTGTGCCTAGTGGTCTTGGTAGTGGCACCGGTTCAGGTCTTGGTTCGGCTGGTGCTGTGGCAGATATGGACACTTATCTTGTAGCCTCGTAGTCCTTGGTGTACAGCGGCGGTGTGCCAGTCTTGTAGCTGGCTACGCGTGCGCGCAGCGGTGGTAGTTAAGGCTTGATGTTGGCTCTCTGCTCGTCTCGTATGGCTTCTCTCTTTGCTTCAGTGGTTCTGCTCCTGCTCCTCCTCCTCATCCTGCTTTTGATGCTCCGCCTCCTCCTCCTCCTCCTCCTCCTCCCTCCTCATGCTCCTGCTCCTCCTGCTCCTCCTCCTGCTCCTCCTCCTCCTCCTCTTCCTGCTCCTCCTCCTATCCTTATTCCTTATTAGAATATACTCCTACTCCCCCCTCAGGCCCTCATCCGGGTGGTCCCATCCTAACCTGTAAAAAACAATACAAAATCAACATTTTTCTTATTTTTTCCTCTCGACATGGACGTCCTGTCGTCCACGGCGATAATCCATTGCAAAAAATACCACAAAGAGCACACGCGCGCGTTCATGTCAGAATCCTACCGAACACCGTGTGTTTGCAAGCATTTCAACATAAAAACATCAAAAACCCAATGCTTTTTCACAAAAAGTGTACAAATTTCCCGCCCGGGTTCTCTTGCTGAAATCATAGGAAAACCATAGGAATCTTAAGAATTCTGTCAAATCCAGCGATTTTGCGTCATCGCGCGGTGCACTCGCGATGCTCTGTCATGCACCCAGGCCGCGAATCCTGTGCAAAAAATACAACAAAAAGCACACTCGCGCGTTCATGTCAGAATCCTACCGAACACCGTGTGTTTGCAAGCATTTCAACATAAAAACATCAAAAACCCAATGCTTTTTCACAAAAATGCTTTGGGGTGTCCTGTCAGACCGTCGGGCTTCCTCCGGCCACCTCTGGCTTCCTGCGGTGTACCGGGCCATTCTCGACTCGTCTGGCAATGCGTGCGCGGCATTCAACACGCGCTCGCCAGTTCCCGTCGGCAACCGCCATCGCGGCCGCATCAGCTGTACCAAACCGGCTGGCCGGTGTGACTTCGGCCCCCAGTTGTGCCAGCTTTGCTTCTTATGTTGTGGGAGGGCGGGTGGGACTGGGCATGCCATGCTTGACTCGCTCGAGCTGGCTAGCTTGACTCCTACTCCTACTCCTACTCCTCCTCCTCCTCCTCCGCCTCCTCCCTCCTCCTCCTCCTCCTCCTCCTCCTCCTCCTCCTCCTCCTCCTCCTCCTCCTACTCCTACTCCTACTCCCTCATCCCTCCTCCTGGCTCCTGCTCCTCCTGCTCCTCCCCCTGCTCCTCCTCCTCCTCCTCCTCCTCCTCCTCCTCCTCCTCCTCCTCCTCCCTCTGCTCAAACTGTGCTGGCAGAGCGCGCGCCACTCCCCATCGTCGACCCGAACCGTCGCCCTCTCGCCCTCGGAGGGAGCCCTGTGCCGTGCCCCGAGACCAGTACCCTCCTCCTCCTCGCTCGCATCCTACTCCTCCTCCTCGTCCTCCTCCTCCTCCTCCTCCTCCTCCTCTCCTCCTCCTCCTCCTCCTCTCCTCTTTCTCCTCCTCCTCCTCCTTCTCCTCCTTTCTCCTCCTCCTTCTCCTCCTCCTCTCCTCCTCGCTCGCGTCCTCCTCCTGTCGCTGTCGCCGATGGCATCGGGGTCACTGCCGAGGCTGCCACCCTTCGAGGCCTCATCTCCCCCCCTCCTCACTCGCGTCCTCCTCCCCCCTCCTCCCCCTCGCATCCTCCTCCTCCCCCTCCTCCCCCCCCCTCCTCCTCCTCCTCCTCCTCCTCCTCCTCCTCCTCCTCCTCCTCCTCCTCCTCCTCCTCGTATTCGCGCCACTTGCTGGCTGCCTCTCGCCGCAAGCGGCTCCCCCGCAAAAGAGCGCAAAGAGGGGGCCGCCGCTCTCCCCCCCCGCCCGGCCTGGCGGCCGTCGCAGGCGGAGGCCAGGCAGAGTGCGTCCGTGACGCTCTGCTCCAGGAGCGTGCACTCGTCCCCTTTGGCATTAGTTAGAGGAGTAGGAGGAAGAGGAGGAGGAGGAGGAGGAGGAGGAGGAGGAGGAGGGAAACGAGCCTGAGCTTAGCTGCCCCGATACGTAGCGCGCAACGCGTACTTAGCGAGTTGACACGGAGCTCACCACGTAGACTGAAAGCAATGGTATGATGCGATACTTGCGCAAAGACCTGGGCCAAGACGTTGAGCCAACACGCTGCGTGTTAACACGGACGTTTTGAACACGGTACGTGTTCCGTTTCAAAACAGGCGCATCAGGGCAATGAAGGTCCTGAGGGAAACGGGTCCTGGACCCTAGGGCCTTCCCCGCGGACACGCTCTTCATCCTGAGCTGGTTCTGCCAGTCCCAGGGGGGCCCGAGAGCCCGAAGCCGGCGAAAAACCTCAGGACCCGTTTCCCTCAAGACTCGGTTCCCTCAGAACCTGTCGCCCCCATGGCGCCCCCTGTACGATGCGACCACCGAGCCCTGGCCCCCACCAGCCATCGCTTCCCCCGAACCGATGGACGGCGGGGGCAGGGCTCGAAGTTCGCCACGCACGCCACGAGTTCCGCACCCGAACCCTATCCCCGCCGCCCGTCGAGTTGCCAGAATCGCGCATCGGCGATGGTAGGGCTCGGAAAGCTCCTGCCGACCCTGCCCGCCGCGCCAGACCGCTCCTCGCCCCCTCTGCGAGGAATAAGGAAGCTCTCAGCAGCAAGCAGACACTGCTTGCGCGTTCGTGCTTCCGGTGACGATCGTCACTAGGGTAGGGGTCGGGGCCCCGCGCAGCAGTGGCAACGATTGGTCGGGATGGGGCACGTCGAGGCCGGGGTGCGCTGCCATCGCCTCAGTACGCGCGCGAACACCAGCATGTGGGGGGGGGTCGAGCCCCCCCCCCTACATACGATCGTTACTGTTGCCCGGGGAGGGGGGGGTTAAAGGCAGTTGCTGCGCGCCATCGAACAAATCCCCCGAGGCGGCGGCTGCCCGCAGGTGCTGGTCTGCGAGGCCAGCTGGCGGAGGAGACTCTCGGAATCATCCTCGGCCTCGCCTCGCCTCCGTGGTCTGCACCCGCATGTGGTAAGACAAGGGGCTGGGCTCGCTGGAGAACTTTGCTTCTCCTGGCCAGACAGGAGCGAACCTGTGTAACAGCACCAGGTGGCTGAGAAGGAGGGTGACGACGAGGAGGAGGAGGAGGAGGACAAGGAAGCTGAGGAGGAGGAGACATCCTCACGAGAACGTCTGATACTGCATGGATGGCATGGGGCTCCCGAGGCGTTGCCAGGCTCAAGAATTCAGCGAGCTGCTGGGCCTAACTCCAGCGCCTGGCTAGACCTGGGCCCAGCGCTGGGCTGGTAACTAAGGGCAGACGGAGGGGAGACAGACGGAAACGATGCCAGGAGCGCCGCGCGCTCCGCGGGGCGGCGCATCGGCTGCAGCGGCACATCCGCGGGGGGGCGCCCGCTATCACCGACCAGCGCCACATCCGCAGCACACCAGCGGCGGCACATCCGCGGCACGCACCCACCGACCAGGGGAGGCGCAAAGACAGGGGGTCTTGGCCAGGAGCCCTGGGCCCACCGCCGCGCCCCGGCGGCAGACCGGGGCGCGCCCGACTGCTTGCCTGCTGCCTGGGTAGGGCCTCCGCTTCGCCTCTGTGCAGGAACATGGCAGCGCGACGCCACCACCACCACCACCAGCGAGAGGCGCCGAGGAGGGCCCTTCTGGTGGTGCAGTCCCTCTGTCTCGCTCGAGCCGGCCCCTGTCCCAAGCTCGTGCAGCCATCTCGGACGCCCTCGCTGGAGGTGCCCCCCCTGGCCAGTGGTGGTTTCGCCTCTCCTTCTGCCTATTCTCGGGCCGCTCCCCCCCCCGCCCCCCGCCCTCCCACACCTCCACTCGGGGCAGTCGGCTTGCGAAAACGGCCCCCTCTGATTTTGCTATGTTGCTTTCCAGCGCTATCTTTTTGGCATCCAGACGGCCTGAAGACATGCCAAAGCCACCCCAAATGGCTTCAAGGCGCCCCAAGAATATCAAAGACGGCCCAACGATCTCCACCAAGTTTCAAGGTCTCTCGGGGAGATCCCAAGAAATCACTTTATTTTGGGGTGGGCGTGGACCTCCCACAGAAGCCCCCAAACCCCCGCGATGCTTTTCCGTATTCTGTCCTCAAGGGCCCCCAACACAGGAGGCCCGGACATGAGCACCAACACAAAAACATGGGGTTGCCTCAACCAGGTAGGGCGACGAAATCTATACATATCCACTGCTCCCTGGCCAGGCCCATCCTCAACCCCGCAGCGGAGTATACGCCACGCCCTCCTGGCTTGGCCAGGAGGGCGCATACACAGCTCCTGGGTTCAAGATGGGCATGGTCAGGGAGCAGTGGATATGTATAGATTTCGTCGCCCGACCAGACAATCGTTCGGCCACCCACGCAGCCCGAATATCACCTCTACCTCCGAGATCGGAATCGTTCTCCCTCGGTGGAGGAACGTCGCCGATGTTGGTGTTGGTGTCAACCTCCAGGCCTCCGACCAAAGGACTTCCTGCAACCCCGTCGCTTGTGCCTTGGCTGAAAAAGGTGCTCCTCGGACCCGCCCGAGCAAAAAAAACGGCGGCGCCCACGAGGGGGTGGCCCCCGAGCCCCCTTCTAGAAGGCAAGGACTCTCTTGGAAAGACCTGGCGGCCTCTCTGAATGGGAAGGCCAACGGGTACCGATACCGCTGCTCCCCGGACCTCTCCTGGGGCGTGTTCTGACCAGGATTTCGAGGCGAATCCAGCGGTGGCCACGAGGGCCGCCCAGGAGACCCCAAAATGGGGAAAAAAAGGCCGAAGGGCAAAGGCGTGTGTACCTTGTCCTCCTCTGACTAAGGGGGCTTTACGTAATGAGTATCGTCTAGCCGATCCCCATCCCCAGCGGCGTGGCCGGGGCCCCACTGGCCGATTTGCCTCCTCCAGATGGGGACATGGGCCGTTCCCTCCGGCTTTCGAGGGGTGCATCCCCAACTGGGGTGGTCATGTGGTGGGGGTCTCGGAAGGGACGGAGATGGGGATGGGGATCGGTTAAACGATACAGAACAGGAGGGGCCGTCTCGCAGCTGTGCTTATGTCGGACCTGTCCCCCTACAGGGGGATTTTCGACGAAAAATTTAAAAAAGACCCCCAAAATACCCCAAGAAGGTCAACAAGTACCCAAAAAATAGTCCCCAGACTATTTTTGGACTATTTTTGGACTACTTTTGGTGTATGTTTTATCTTTCGTCGAAAATCCCCTTGCAGGGGGACAGGCCCGACTTAAAGCTGAGCGTGGCCTGGACGCGGCGCGCCCCTGCGGGCCAGAGGCAGCCTGGCACGGACTCGGCCCGCACGGGCTGTGGCTGCCGTCTGGCCAGTGAGCGGGGTCGCGGGGGGTGGCGGGCGGGGGGGCAGAGGCCCGGGGGCCTCGTGCTGAAGTCGTCAAGGCGCTGGAGGTCTGGGTATCGTTCCTTCTCCCTCTGTTTATTGCCTCATCTGCATCTCTAAGGCTTGCTTGCTTGTTTCAGTCTCTCTCTCTCTCTCTTCTGTTTCTCTATCCTCGCTCGAACTACTGGCTGGGACGCACCCCCGAAGAGAGGAGAGAGAGAGAAAGAGACGAGGGCGGAGGGGGTCGTGTAGGGGTGCCTTCCCAGGCAACACCCTCCAAGAAAGCCCGGCGGCGGACCACCCTCCGATGCGAGAATTTTCGCTGGAGCACAGGAAGAACAATGATGTGCTGCCCAGCTGGCGGGGTCTGCCGCAAGCAAGTGAATAACATGAAAAACGCCTGCCCACCTGAGGAGGGAGGAGGACGATGAGCGGGAGGGCAGAGAGTGCAGAAGGAGGAAGAGGAGGAGCAAGATGTAGGAGGAAGGAGGAGGAGGAGGAGGAGGAGGAGCAGGAGGTGCAAGCACTGGGATGCCAACGCGAATCCGTCTAGATCACCTCTTCGGGTTTGGAGTCCGCTCTGGACGAACCTCTCCATCTCCTGTTTCTAACCTTCCTCATCCTTCTTCCTGCGAGGGATTCACTTTGGGATCCCGTTTTGGACCCCCCCTTGAACTCGCCCACTGGGATCCCTCTTCGTCGTCGTCGTCCTCCTCCTCCTCCTCCACCACTACCTTATCATCCTCCTCCTCTGCGCAGGCGTGTGTGAACGCCCGTTCCGCCACTCTAACGCCCTACCCTGGGACAACTCCTGACGAGGACTGGGACGCCCAAAGAGGGGGGGGTAACCGCTGTATCTTTCTCGCGCGATGCCCCTGGCAGATCAGATCAAATCCCAGCGTCGACGCAGGCATGCGTAGCCAGTGCAGCGCTCGAAGGCCAGGGCGGCCCTGCGATGGGGGCAAGGAAGGGTGGCGACGGCGGCGGGCAGAAGGGCGGCTGGACATATGAAGAAGGGGGGAGCGGCGCGAGGCTAGAGACCAAACAAAACAGGCCGAACATCAATTTTCGGATTGTTCAGGTCGGCGCTGGATCCTCACTCCTCTGGCGCGCAACGTGCGCCCCGGGGGTGGCGCCAGAGTCTGCTAACAAGTGTCGTCTGCGGCGGGACGCACGTCGGTTGTGGATGGTGGCCAGGGGCGGCAGTGGCAGTGGCGGGTGGCGTCGGCAAATGCTGTGGTGGCGACTGGTAATTAATGTAGCCCAGCCCGGTTGAAGCGGAAGCTGCAGTGCAGGGGCCGTGGTGGCGAGTTGCTCGGACGCCGATGCCCGTGGCAGGGGGGGCGGGCGGTCGAAGGGAGGGAGGCAGGAGGGAGGGAGGAGTGAGCAGGGAGAGACGAGGCAGAGGGGAGGCAGGGCAGATAGAGAGGAGGGAGGCGGAAGGGAACGGAGGAGGAGGGAGAAGGCTGGGCGCAGAAGGCGGGAGGAAAAAGGGAGGGCAGGGAGGAAGAGGGAGCAGGGAGGGCGGAGGGGCAGGAGGGCCGGGGGGCGACGGGGGCGAGCGAGCGAGGCAGCGAGGAGGGAAGGCCCACCTTCGTCGTCGAGGTAGGTCACCCTCGCCCGGCCCGCCCGGTCGCCCGCGGGGACCAGCTCCTGGCAGCAAGAGGGGCTGGCCCCCGGCAGCGCTCCAGGAGCAGAGCACGCGCAGTGCTTGTTCGGGGGGGCATCTATAAAAAGGGGCCCAAGGACACACACACACACATACACACATATATATTTATATACACACATAAACGCCAAGATTCCCTCTCTTTTCTCATGGTTTCTGGACTTTCGTCTCCCCCCACTTCCCATCATTTCCCATCTTTCCCTGGGGAGGAGGGAGGAGGGAGGAGGGAGGAGGGAGGAGGGAGGAGGGAGGAGGGGGGAGGGGGGAGGGGGGAGGGAGGAGGAGGAGGGGAGGGAGGAGGGAGGAGGGAGGAGGAAGGAGGGGGAGGGAGGAGGGAGTAGGAGGACTCGGCTTGCGGGGGGGGTCGGGCGCGCGGGAGGCGGGCGGAGGCGTCGCCGGCGCCCCGCGCCCCCGGGGGGCTCCATGTTGGATTTCCCAGGCTGCGCCAAGCGCGCGCGCGCTACTTGCCCGCGCGCTCACGTTCGCGCAAGCGCATCCTAAGAAACTATGATTTGGATCGGAACCGGGCGACAACGGGCATGGGGCGCCTGTCAAGGCTGCTTTTGGGAGCGATTGCTGCTTGCTCGACGCGCGCGATATGCATGTAACGACTTTTGGAGGACGGGCGCTGCGCCGTCCAATCCAACGCGGTAATGGCGCGGTCCGGGGCGCGCGGCCGTCGCGGCACGCGGCGGTCGACGTGACCGCATGGGGCGCGCGATCGGCCGCGCGGTATTTGCGGGCCATTCGGCCGACGCTGCCGGGTCGCCCTCAAACAGCCCGCCAGGAATACGCAAATGCGCAATGCGCCAGCGCGCCGCCAGGACATCGCCCTGAAAACAACTTGTTCACTCTGAACGCCGACTGCGCGCCTCGCTGAACCAGCGAAGTCGCGCGGCGCGCCCGCGCCGCGGACCCGCCGCAATGAACTCGCGGGAAAGAGGCCTCTCTCCATGGGTTCTGGCACCGATTCTGGCCTACTTCCCCGTTCTGGCCGATTCTGGTTCTATCGCCGATTCCTCCTTCGATTCCGTGCTGATTCCGTGCTGATTCTTTTGATTCCGCTAGAATCAGGGGTCGCAGTTGTGCCGATTCTGTTTTGATTCTGTTCTGATTCCGCACTGATTCCTTTGATTCCCCTGTGCCCCGGGGACCATCAGGCCGCGGCCCGAGCCCCCGCCTCGGCGGCATGGTTTTTCCAGGAGCGCGGAAGAGTTTTGAGGGGGAGGGGGGCGGGGGGGGAGGCGGAGCGATTCCTGGGGCGCATCGGGCGGCCGAGCCGCAGATTTCCGGGCCCAGTGCGCGCGCCCAACATGGCATGCGCGGGCGCGCGCGCGAGTTCTCGACCGTCGGCGCATCTGTAAGTTCATGCCCCGCCCCGCGCGCGGGAATGGAAACTTGCGTTGCGGTTTCCAATTTAACGCGCGGCCGTCGTAACTGCATCGCATTGCTCAGCGCGCAAAGCGCGCGCAGCACGGGGGCTTTGCGTTCTCGCATGAGAAGTGCGCGGGACCGAACCGAACGGTCGGCGGCGCCCGCTCCTGCGCCGCGCGCGAGGCCATCGCGTCAGCGCGGGAGGCTGCAGTGGCCTGGGGCGTCGCCCTGGGGCGCGGGCACAGCGCGAGGCCCGCGCGGGTCTCTCGCGCGGAACATGCGCAACAAGGTCGGCCCGCCCGCCGGCTGGCGCTCGCGGGCGACGCGACGCCGGCGCCGACTGCGAGGCCGACTGGGCCCGGAGGATTCCTGAGAGTCCCGGGAAGGGGCAGCGGGCCGCGATGGAATCGGCGCGATCGTCGGCGCCCCCCCCGCGCCCGCCCCCCCCTGCAAGCCGACTCCTCCTAGGAGGGAGGAGGGGGGAGGGAGGAGGGGTGTCTGTGTGTTTTTTCTTCTCCTGAATCTAGCCACCTGCCGGTCTCGCTCCAAGACTTTTTTCTACTTTGGAGCCACGAGAGAGCGCCCACCGACAACGGGGTCAAGGAAATTCGTTCTCGGCTACTCGCGTGGCAGCTCAACATGTGAATCCGGAACCCTCGATGCCCACCCCTGACTCCGGATCCGCCCTACTTTGGAGAAATTCGTAAGTAGGGCTTGGAATTTCCGCCTTACTTTTCAAGCCCCGCTGATGCCAATTTCCGCCCTACTTTTCTGTTGCTGTTTCTGTGGATGTCCGCCCTATTTTATGTTGGGTGCAGCAATTTCCGCCCCACTTTTTCGGCCTCTTCTAGGCGGATATCCGACGCAATTTTAAGTTGGAAGAAAAGCCAAAGTAGGGCGGATCCGGAGTCAGGGGTGGCTGTTCAACATGTGAATCCGGAACCCTCGATGCCTACCCTCTTCGTCTTCGATCGTAACCCCCTTTTGGGGTAGATCTTCCTTACCTGCCACGAGTATCGGGGAGACGTAAGACGCGGGTGCGGGGGACGCGGGTTGGCCTGACGGGGTCCATCGTAAAAATGACGAGACGCAGTCTGAAATTTGACGCGAGCTCCCACTGCAGACATCCCACGAAAACTGGACCGTCAAAATCCAGGACGCGCGCGTCAAAAAACGTCGGGAAACCCGAGTTCCGGCTTACCCGAGTCTTACGATTCCCCGAGAATAATTGGCGCGGCCCCTACTGCAGAGGAAGGGAAGGAGGAGGGAAGGAACAAGGGGGAGGGAGAAGAATGGAGCACGAGAGAGATCAGCAGGAGGGGGTCAGGAGCACGAAAACAGACGGCTGAAGCAGACGGGCGGGCCGGGCGGGCGAACCCTAACCGGCGGGGCGTGCGGGCGGGCCCAGACGGCCAGGTCGAGCGGGCGGGTCGCTGAAGCGCGAGTCCTGCATGAATAACGAGGAAATCTTTAGCGACAGCGCCATTCCCAAGTAAATCGTCAAAAGGTCCAGTGCGAGACCATGGTTCCGGAGTGTCGAGGGCGCGGCGTCTCAATAAGTTGTTTGCTAGGATGTGGATCAGATCTGAAGAATCTCCGCGCGAGAGCGCGAATTTGAATAACGTGGAAGTATCAGGCGGGAGACGCTGTTGTTCTAAACCGGGGGCCAACAAGCATATCCTGAGGCATAAAACTTCCCCTTTCACAAAAAAACAAAGGGCGAACCCCGGGAGGACTTAAAAAACCTCACGGTGCACCTGACAGGGGGGGATCAGCAACATTCGTCCCTGAGACATGATAGCTTGATCACAAGTTTAAAATGGGTTGCCCTTCGCTGCTCGCATGTTATCCAACATGTACCCCAAAAAACTCTCGATAACCGCCCGTTTCGTCTTCAACCGCGCCCTCCTCCTTACCCGCCACGTGGAGCTGGCGGAACCCTCAAAGCAGGAAGCACAGACAGGATGGGAAAGGGAGAGCGCTAGAAGGGAGGAAGTGTAGGAAGGGAGGGATGGAGGAGGAAGGGGGCACAACGAAGCGAGGGAGAGAGGCAATGGAGGACGGGAGGGACTTAGCAAGATTGGATAGCAAAGAAGGCCCAATTAAAGTATGAGGCCGTCCCGAACGCGAGCGCGATTCCAGAGCCCCGGGAGAGCGAGTCGTGAATAAACGTTTGATGAAATGCACAAAGACATCTCTAGCGAAAGTTCGACATTTCAATGCACTGTGAGGCAGAATCGGGCGAGAGCCATTGAACTCTCACTACTGAAAGATCATTATTGTTGATCCCCCTCCAGTGCACATGGTATTTTTCCAATTTCGAAATGCCCGTCCCGGCGCTCGCACCCTGATTTCTGTATCAAAAAAACGTCCTCCTCAAACTGGGCACCTGGCCCCCGGTTTACAACAACAGCGGCTCCCGCCCGATACTTTTTCGAAATTTACTCTGGTCCCCCGCTCCCACTTGAGACTTCCTTGCAATTTACGCAAGGATCGCGCTCCCGCCTGAAACTTCCTTGCAATTTACTCAGGCGCCGCGCTCTTGATTCAGGAATCGCGCGCTCGCTGGGGACTTCCTCAAATCTACTTAGGAATCGCTCTCCGGCTGGATATTTCCTGGCTAATCACGCAAAACTCGCAATCGATTCGCCCGCTCGGCCAGCCCGCCCGCTCGCTCGACCTGGTGACCTGGGCCTGCCTTCATATACCCCCGTGTGTGAGGCAGGTTGTTCAGTCCAGCTCCCACCGTCCCACGGGGCGCACGGGGGGCAATCAGTCTGCTGGCCCTGTTTTTCCGCGGACGATCTGATTGGCAAAATGGAGGAGAAATGGGCAAGGCAAAGAATACGGGACCTCAGCAGCAGCAGCCAGCTCGCATGTGGTCAACTTGCCGCGGCTGTCATCGGCACGAGTGGAACGACGCGTTGGCGCACAATTCGAACAAATGTACACGCTGCAGCAGACAGGTGAAGATAACCACGCCGAAGGGTGGAGCCCCAGATGGAGCTCGTGGTGGCAAAGGAGGCAGCGGCCGCAAAGGAGGCGCAGCAGGAGGCAACCAGCTTCAGCTCGCCGTCGCGGCGCCTCCGATCGAGATCCTCACCCGGGCTCTCGGCGTCGCCAAGGACCCGCTACTTGTGGCGGCGCTCACGGCGGCCATCCAGCAGCAGGCGCAGCCCGCGCCCCCCCCCCCCCTCAGACAGCAGAGGAGGCGGTCAAGCGGGCGGCCAGCGCGTGGAAGGACGCGAACTACAAGCGCGACCAGGCGGCGCAGCCAGTCAGCAGGCGCCGCGAGGCGCCCTCGCGGGCGGAGGCGAAGGAGGCAGAGACCGCGAGGGTCCTCGCCGAGGCCGAGATCGCCCGCTGGACGGCGGCCAAGGCCTTGGCGGCGCAGGCGAGCTTCACCGCAGCCCCCGCTGCCGAGGCAGCGGATCAGGCGCCCAAGGGCGGCAAAGTCAAGTTCGAAATCGATGGGGGCACGGACTTCTTCGGCAAGGTTCGGTCAGGCGAGTGCGAGCGTGAGGGCACCGAGAAGGAGACCCTGCTCGAGCTCGAGGCCCACCTGCAGGCAAACATGAAGGATCCCACGGCCAAGAGTGAGTCCATCACG